ATCCAGCTACGAGGATCAGTAGTGTTGCCCCATATACGTTCTCGCTCTTCTCTACCATCACTCGGTAAAGAGTAGCATAACCGTGCACAAGATCAGGACTTCAACGGCCACAGAGAGTGCGCACACTTTTGGCTTCATGTAGCTCACACCCCTTAGTCGTTGTTAAATGTAGCCAGGAACTAATCCTCACTGAGGATCTACACTCCCCCAATGCTTCTTGACCCTCATTTGGAGAGCATCTGTCAATGAGACGAGAAAAAACAGTGCTGATGGCAACAAGAAAAAAAACCCTCGCGTGACAAATGTTTGTTGCCACAGGCAAGACACGCGGTGGTCCCCGTGCGCATGACACTTGTCCTCTTCCTTTCCTGGACAGCTCACGCATGGGGCTTGATCTTCACCAGTATTTCATTCTTGCTGACCTCAGTAAAGTAGTGGTACGTGACGCAAATCGTGCACGTGGGGGCAGAAGACATATGGTGGACCCTCTTTCTGCCATTCCAAAGTCAAACAGTCATCCGAGCATGCAAGGAACACGCACTTTGGTTCCCTGTACTCGACGGGGCTCCCTTCACAGTTCCTTTCACTAGATTAACTCAAGTAAAACCTGCATGAAATTGTTGACGTCAACCCAGCGAGCCGCATGTGCCTCCTCGTTGGTCACCCTCCGCGCGTTATCCTTTGTGTAGTTCAATGGCTAACATGATGCCTCGCTAGTCACACGCAGACGCGCGAGGCACGCGTGCAAAGTCCCAGTGGGCTCGCTCTGGGGAAACAAAAAAAACGCGATGACCGCAACTGATCCATGCACAAATGCCAACATTAACTATGGCTAGACTGAAGTATGGAACCTAGTGCTCGCGCATGACACGTTGTCCCGAGACGTCAACAAAATGAGAAGGTACCCCCTGTCATACTGGTCACGCATGGGCCATATGGGGTGCGCATACAAAGGACCTTCTTCTCCGGTTATCCGAAGGAGCTGTGTGGATGACCACGGACCATACAGGCCAGAGATTATTCAGTTGCGACCCACAACGCAGATCGGACGATCCCGAGTACACGGCGCAAAACCCAGGTCCTTTGCCTCATCGTGATTGACTTCTGCTTGTAACCGCCTAGCGGTCCTGGTTTCTCTATCACCTCGAGTTAGTCTCCAGGGCCCTCTTCCTCATGAAACCGCCCTTGCCCCTTTTCGAAAGTCCGGCTGATGTTCACGAACAAGGAACGCTTTCCATAGGCGCAGCAGGCGGGTGATCCCGCCTCCACTGGTCCAACCCATGTCAGGATTGGGTCGATCCGCTCTGACCTCACTCTCACCCTCGAAGTCCCGGTCCAGGTGTTGCTTCTACTGCTTTGTGGTACCAGTAGAGGTTTCAACCTCATGGTAAGCAATTGTCACTTGGACCTCAACAATGACACCGTCCCTTTGGCACCTTCTCTTTGCTTTGTTCTTTGTCTTCGTGACCGCGGCCTGTAGATGTCCCTTCTCATCTCCTCTCTCGCCCCTCCACGTGATCTTCAACTTGGCCTCATCGCCCCCATTGTAGTTTAGGATAGTAATAATCTAGGGGCCCTCACCGGACATCCGTCGATACGAAGCGGAGAGGGCGGCGGGCCGCATGAAGGCAGCGCTTTCCTGGCGGCGACACAGGCTTCTGCTGCAGAGGGTGTTGGACGCCCCGGACTGCATCACGACTTCGGAGGCTGTGGTTCAGCTGTGCACTGCAATCGGCTCCGGTGTGCTTCCCAGGGCGACGCCACGTTGGTGGATGAGGCGGAGAACTGGCGGGACTTGGGAGGATGTGCGGGTGTGCGACGACGCGACGGATGACTACTTCCGGGAAAAGCTCCGCATGTCGAGGAGAGTGTTCATGGAGATCACCGAAGCCTGTGCGCCTCATTTGCAACGACAGGTCACGTTCTACAGGGAGCCGCTTCAGCCGGATCAGATCGTCGCGTACACGCTGTATAGGTGGGCAACAGGAGAGTCGTACGACAACAGCACATCATCGTTCGGCATTGGCAGAGCATCCGGAGTTCGAGTCGTGCGCGATGTGACAGCCGCGTTGCTGCGGGTCTACGGGGACAAGATATCGTGGCCGACAGGGGTGCGTAAACACGTGGTGCTACGGGCGTTTCAAGACAAGGGCTTTCCCAACTGCCATGGCGCAGTTGACTGCACACACATCTACGTGGACAAACCGGCGAACGCTCTGAACGAGAACTACTTCGACCGCAAGCACTGTTTCTCCGTCGTTGCGCAGGTGGTGGTGGACCTCAATCTGCGTGTGCTTGACGTCTTCGTTGGCTACCCGGGCAGTTGCCACGACATTCGGGTGATTCAGTTGTCAAGTCTGTCGAGGCGCGCAGAAGAGGGAACGCTTTTTCGCGGGCCGCCTGTGACGCTGCTGGGAGGGGTGAGGACGAACGGATACATCTTGGGCGACAACGGGTATCCTCCTTCGGAATGGATAGTGGTCCCGTACGGAGGAATCAATCAGCACCCGGACCAGGAAAGGTTCGACAACAAACAGAAGGTCGCTAGAGGTGCTGTGGAGAGGGCGTTCGGGAGGTTGAAGGGGATGTGGAGGCTCTTGCTGCGGTCGCACAAGACGAACTTGGACACTCTACCGCAGCAGTTCACGGCCGTCTGCATTCTCCACAACATCCTGCTCGATGCTGGGATCGAGTTCGACGAGAACTTGTTGTGGGAGGTCGACGAGAACGGGGTGAGGCGGCGAGTGGACCTGGGGATTCATCGTCCACCGCAACCAGTGACGATGCTGACATCGACAGACGCCGCACACGCGCTCCGCAATGCCCTTGCGGAGCGGCTGAAACACATCTGATCGTGCGTGTCGCGCCACTCCGCCTCGCGTGCATAGACAGAAGCCGTGTGCGTTCGTCGTCGAGTCGCAGCGCTTGCGTCATTCGCGAATACGCGCAGAGTTATCTCGCAGGGTTTGCAGCGGCGGACGGCTCGTTTGTAGGTGTTTGTTGTTGTAGTC